TTTGGAAAAAAAAATTTAGGTCCGAAAAAGTTTGGTCAAAAAAATTACGGGAAAAAAATTTTTGTTAAAAAAAATTTTGGAAAAAAAAATTTTGATCAAAAAAATTTTTGGTCGAAAAAACTTGAGTCAAAAAAATTTTGAAAAAACTTTCAAGTAAATACTATAATTTTCTCAAATAATATCAGTATTTTCAATATCCTTCAAAAAATTTCAAAATTTTCGGGTAAAATTATAAAAAAACATGGTCTTTAATTTTCTGCAAAAAATGCGAAAAAAATTATTAGGGAAAAAAATTGGGACAAACATTTTGGGGGAAAAAAATTGGGGAAAGAAAATTAGGAAAATTTTTTTTGGGGAAAACAATTTTTTGGAAAAAAAATTGGGGAAAAACATGGACTAGTCTTTAAAGAACCATGGACCATTTATAGTCTCTGATTTTTTGGGAAAAAAAATTTTTGAAAAAAAAATTGGGGAAAAATTTTTTGGAGAAAAGAATGGGAAAAAAATTTGGAAAAAAAAATTTGAAAAAAGAAATTTTTGGCAAACAAATTGGGAAAAAAATTTTTTAGAAAAAAGATTTGGGAAAAAAATTTTTTGGAAAAAAATTGGGGGCAAAAATCTCGTTAAAAATCAAAAACTATAGTCCATGGTGTTTCACTCAAATTCAAACATGTCAAGATATCTACATATTTCACTTAATTCAATCAAAGTCCACGCTTTTCAGTCTATCCAAAAATTGTATATTAAGTCTAAATTTTGGAAAAAAATGAGGATAACAATTTTTAGAAAAAAAATGCATGGGCTGCGCCGGACTGAAATACTTCACGATTTTGAAACTGAAATTACAATTTACAATAAAAAATTTAAAAAAATCATAGAACACACAACATTTGGAAAAGAATTTTTTTTAATTAACTAACACAATGGACATGGACCCATATTGTCCATTAGTCAGAGACACTAAAAAATATCTTTGAAACACCCAGAAAATGTGATTGTGAACATATTCGATCGAGGTATAGAAGCAATGAAACAGAGTTTAGTAAAATTAACTGTGCTTCATTGATATGAATTGTCTGGAATAATTTTTAAAAAAATAATGTAATGTATGAAGAAATAAAAGACTTGTAATAATTATATAGCCCCAGCTCCATAGGAACAGAGCAACTTTTATATATTTACCCATATATGCTAACTATAACAATAATCTTCATTGAAATATCAATACATGTATATTGCACACATCAATCAATATACATGCCTATAGGCTCACTTATGTATATATTTGCAGAGCTCCAACAGCTCTTGCAATACGAGTATTTTATAACTGAATGTAAAAAGAAAGAAATATCAATCTATACTATTTCACACATATCAAAGCTAGCAATAAAGTGAATTTAGTATAGAAATGTCATGACTTTGCTTGAAACTACGATATTATTTTATTTTCTTACTTGAACAATGATGCTGTGATGTGTCTTCATTTTAGATAATCATCAGATTAGCAAGAGCCTGCTTTATATACCACATAAAAATATTATAATTTATATAGGTATAATAATACATTTTGCTGACACAATCTTCATACATGTAATATTCACACAAAATTCATAATCTGTATTATATAATAAATATAATAAGTATAATATGTATATGAAATATTATCGTCACATATGTATTACATATTCATACATACATATCTAGACTTGGGTTAGCATTATTCATATATATATATATATATATATATATATATATATATATATATATATATATATATATATATATATTATATATATATATAAATTTGAAAAAAAGAACCATTAAAATGATATCTTCCAATTTTATTCTTAAATATATTTTAATCGCCTATCACACTTTTCTCCTGATCGAGATTGAGGATCAATAAGTTGACATAGCACTGGCTAAACCAAAACTTTTCATAATATGTCCTATGCATATAATAAATATTATTACCTTTTAAATTTAGTGTAATACTTCACAATAACCTATTGTTCCAAAATCCTGATTGTTAAGTTCTCTGGATTTGATTTTAAATTCCAGACAGGTAAACTATTCTAATTAAAACCAAGTAAGGAAATCCATAATATCACATCAGACATCCATATGTTTAGGTGGAGTTTGAGTTATGAAAGGCTCACTCCACATTCGGCGTAAATCTCCCTAAAAAAATTAAGATCCTTACAAAAATAGTATTTTATAATAATAAAAATGCTATGTCTAAGGAGAAGTTAATTTGTAAGATTTATTGTTGTGTTTCAACATAGATAAATAAATTCAACATATAGGTTTAATGGTTACAAAACGAGTTTCTCTATAAGTTAAAAAATTGAAAATCGACCTTTTTCTCAAATTGACTAAATTGTGTATTTTTAGCAAGCAATTTTTCTGTAAGTGTTAAGTAAGTACATTTACATTATCATACTACTGAAAAATTTATGCAATTCATTTTCAAAATTATAGAAAGGTACCCTTTCCTAATGCATCAAATTTACCTTAACATATGCCATGGTAAGTAGTGGCAAGAGAGTAAATGGTACAAGATAAAGAAGAGCTGGCTGAGCAGCCTTGAAAACTTCACTACTCACAGTAGCGGTGAGGAGTCCGAGAAAATATCTGAAATAGCAAAACAAATGCATAAGTAATTGATATTGTGAAAAAATGAGAGTGAACCGATTCATGCTAAAATATGAAATAAATATTAAAAGAAATAAAAATATGATAGTTTCAATATTGTGCATCTGCTTTTTGGGGTTGGTATGGTATTATAGCTGATGGCACTGACAGGCATATATGAAAATGGTCATTGTCCCTGTATCTTTGTGTCTCGGGATACATGTACAAGAGATTTATATACTTAATTCTCTATCCAACTATCTACCTGTCTACTATTCTAGCTGTATGCCTGTCTTTCTAACTGTTTACTAATAATTTGAATCGGATGCAGCTTTCTGTCAAAAACTGCCATTTTTGCACTATTTGCTCTGCATTTTCAAAATGACTGGATCCACTGGATCATCAACAAAAACTAATTGCTGTCAATACGAATCAAAAGTTGTTTGAATCATTCTACTCGGTTGGTAGGCACACAGACACAAACTCACATACATCTATTTGTTGTATGGTCTTTGTATGCGGGCCGTATGTTTGACATGCCCGATATATTCTTATATATAAAAATGGACCGCAAAATGTGTTGGTAAGCGCATAACTCAACGACGCCTGGACCAATTTGGCCAATTCTTTTTTTTAAATGTTCGTCGAAGTCGAAGGATGGTTCTTACGGCGCGAAAAAATCGAAAAATTGCCGGCAAAAACCCCTAAAAACAGCCCTTTTCTTTATCTCATACAAACGTTTTTTAACTAAAACGTAGAATCAATTTGAGCTTTATTTCTATTATATAAAGTTCATATTAAATTACGTGCATTCACTGTATACTCCTCCTTAACGATTATTCGGATTTCGATAAATCTTTCTGAAGTTTGTTAAGGAAATTTCTAGGATGTTTGTGATTATAAAGTACTGGGATGTATGTGCAATATTGTAGAAATAACTGGAAAAAAATGCAAAAATCGACATGTCATTGTTTGCATTGAAAATAAATGAAACTATCAACTGCCAAAAATTTCAATTCACTTATGAACCTACACAATATTAGAATATGTATAATAAATTTATGATTATGATTATTTATGATAAGAAAAATGAAATGTCTACATTATTATTGCCAAAAAGCAGCTGAGATGTGCCAGGAATTAAAATAATATAAAATACAGTACATGTATGGAAGATTGAATGAAACACATACAAACAGGATATGACAAATTCATTCACTTAAAAAATGAAATTTAGTATTAATCAGGGCCGGTCCTACCTTTAATGCGATGCATGCGAAAAATAAGAGCGCACGCCTTAGGGGGCGCCAACACAAGATTTGGATATTAAATTTTCAATATATAATTTCCTTGCATCTTTTACTAATCTTTCCACAATATTTTTAAAATTCGTAAAAATTTCACTTTATAACAACAAATGGGAAAGTAAAGATGAGTACATACAATTCGGCCCACACAATATCGATTAAGAGAAGTGTAAGATGCAATTTTGGATATCTTAAATAATAGAAAATTAAAATAATTTAATCCAACATAAAGTACCAATGTTATGGTATGGTTATGATTCTGTTATACCGTTTAAAAGACTTCAAATTCCAATATAGTGTGGAAATTGAGATTCATCATTTTATTTAAAGCAGTTCTACATTTAACATCGCTCATATTATAAATGTACATATATGCATTTTGGCGTGAAGAGTAATTTAAAAAACAATTATTATTATTTTTAGGTAGGCGGTAAATATTAGTATATTAAATTAAAAAAAATGTAGATATGGACAGGACAACGTCTATATATATATATATATATATATATATATATATATATATATATAATATATATAATAAACATTTTTTTATGGATTTATTACAAGTAATTTACCCTAGTAGAGAGCAATGAAAGTATGTTAATCTCGAACCAACGCTTCGAGGCTTTGGTATTCCAGAATCCACAGGAGTGCACTGAGCCTTTTTGTAGGCGTCATAGCGCAAAACAAAACACAGTAGCAATCCTGGCATCACTATATCTCCAAGACCTAAAACACATTTAAAATAATATTATTAATTATTAAAATAATTAATAAATATTAATTATTTCTATTTTATTAATTCATTCTATGATATCTAGCTCAAAATATTCTAACAAAATAAACTTTTAAAAAATTAATGTCTTAATAATATCATTAAGAAACGAAATGTAATTTATATGTGATCTAATTAGTAATAACATAAAAATAAGGAATGTCATCATTATACCATATTATATATATATATATATATATATATATATATATATATATAAATTTATTTATTTACTTTATTTATTTTTTTGAATTATCGGCACAAATTTTAATATTTTGAAACTTTATTGTTAGTAAATGTTGAAACGTAACAGACGTTTCTTTCAATTCAAGAATTTGTTGATAATATTTAGTTTAACTGAGTTTTTTATTATAATAATTTTTCCTTTCCTTTTTCACAAATCTGACTACTAATTGAGTCTTGTCTACTGTAGGTTTCTTTGTTATTTTAAATATTTTTTTTAGTTTTGCCCACATGCAAAAAGTTAATCTGGTACTTGAAAACTTGAATGTCTCATTAAAGTTTTTCAAGCACAATTGAAAAAAAAACAATGTCACAAGTTCGATTTCTGTTTTCGATGATAGCTGAACTGGTGACGGTTTATATATATATATATATATATATATATATATATATATATATATACATACTCTTCTACTTTCTACTATATATATATATATATATATATATATATATATATGTATATATATATATACTACTAGTTTCTTCTACGTTCTACTGTATATATATATATATATATATATATATATATATAGTATTTTGTGGTCCAATCGTCGAATTAAAAGAACGTTAATACAAAAAAAATCTTTTATTACATTAAACGTTTCGACACTTGATGTCTCATGAGGTATGTCCTCATTCAGTAATCTAAAAAACATATTACATAAATAACAACATTTATTAAATATAAAAAAGGATAAGTATATATGCATGCATACTAAACTAGGAAAACCATAAAATTTTGTTTGGGTTTATGTTTTTATGTTTTTCCTGGTTTGGTATGTATGTTATATTTTCCTTTTTATATTTTTCATATTTAACATCAAATGTTGCTATTTATGTAATATATTTTTCATATTACTGAATGAGTTTAAGATAATAAATTATATTTTATTAAAAAGGTAACTGGATTTTCTTTATTCTGGTTTGAAGCGCAAATAACACAAATCGCAACATATGATGATATACAATTTTTGTAAACTCACCGAGCATTGAAAAATGTCCTGTATGATGCATAGATGGGAAAACTAATTTTCCAGGGAGACTGAGCTTAGGTGCAACCATATCGCCGGCTGCACCACCAAGACGCAATTTCCGTGCGACTACACCTACCGGATTTTCTGCTGGTCTGGTCGCAACCTGTAAAATTTTACAATGTATATTGTGCTCTCTCTCGTTATTTTCTGTATTTTACAAACTATTCATTTGGAAAAAAAGTAATATTTGTATAATGTATCAAATATAAAGAAAATATCTTTTGAAAAAATCATTTTTAAAATAGGATCACAAAGTAAGTAAGTACAAAAAAAACTATTATTGAATTCGATAATATTGGGACGGTTTACCAAAATAAAAAATCCGTTAACAGCACGAAGTACAATGTCTCTTACATTTGACAATAGTGAAGGTAGAAGTACCCTTTCAAACGAAATCTCGAACCCCGGATATTATAAATATCCTTAGTATATGATTCTAAGAAAAAGGTATGTTTAGGAGCATAAGCAGAATAGATGTTAAAAGCCCATATAAAAATACAGTTAATTTAAAAACAAAGCAACATTTTGCATAATTCATACCTAAATCTGAGGCATACGTTGCAACTAAACATATTTTTACAATTACTTTTTGACTTAACAAAAACATCGATTTTACTAGTGAAAACAATATACCAGTAACATCTTGCGATCTGTTCAAAAACCTAAATCCCCTTTTTATATTATTTACAATATATATTACAATCTGCCTTAAGTAATTGAAGAGATGAAGTAAAATAATTAATTTTTATAAGGAGAGCCAGTAGTAGATGTTATAGCAGTGACATATAAATATAAATTATAAAAAAAATCTTTGGAATATATTATAAACATTTCGTTGCACAAAAAATAACAGATTTAAATAAAAAATAAATAGATAAATAAATAAAATGAAATAGAATAAAATAAAAATTAAATAAAAATCTTTCTATTTTTGTTTTAACGCAAGTAGGTTTTGAGAGAAACAAACCTCATTTGCTTTCTATATCACATATTAATGCTAACTATCTGAAAAAATAAATTATTCCAACTGGGAAACTGGGACCCGCGATAAATTGTTTTCATTTACTTTGTGTATCAATAAAAATCATCAAGTTCTAATCGGTTAAAATTTACAACTTTGAGTTTTTTACCGCACTCAATTATAAGTTGTATTTGCCCCATTACTGACCATAAGGGAAGCTAAGAGAAAAAGCTCTCTTAGGCGAGAGAATTTGTGAAAAAAATTAATCTATGCGTATTGAATCGCAAGGAAGAAAAATAACCGACCTCGATTAAAATCGGCGTCTACGGAATCGATTCAAGAATTCGATTTCAAGAAATTGGCGCTCATCAGTATAGAATTAAAAATATTTCTTTAGCGCAGGAGCACTTTTGGATCGGAGGCCCGTTGCATTTTTCCAGCCTATAAAGATACGCCACTGATATTTAATTAAAATTATATATATTTACACAATAGTGTGTATTGTTCATAATGAGACAAATCATCATTAGTGAAAAAAAAGTTTTTATAAAATCGTGAGTTTTCTGAAAATAGTTTACTAAAGTAGTGAATCTGCTAGAATCCATCAAGATGTCTGTATTGAAGTGAATTCTAGATGGAATGTGAATTACTTTAATTCTGGTGGAAATGGCGCTCATTAAAGCATATGATTTAAAAGAAAAAAACTTCGTATATGCTTCCTATTTGCATGATAGCCCACTCATTTTACACGCAAAAAACTTGTAACAGCACTCATTTTAAAGCTTATGTTGAGCACTATAAAACCAAATTTCACCAAAATGCATAAAATGTAAAACCTCGACACTAGATGGCTTTAAATACAACAATTAAATCTTGACTAAAAAACGACTTTAATCTTACAAATCTTGCTTAATATTTTTCCTAGAACACTTTATGTAATACCGATTTATTAACTTCCCGTAGGGTAAGTTATTGTAATGGGCCGAAAATCGGAATTGAAAATTTTTACATTTCTCGACGTTTTGAAGGTTTCTGAACGTTTTGGCATACCTCAGAAAAAATTGATGTGTGTGTGTGTGTGTGTGTATGTGTGTGTGTGTGTGTATGTATGTGTGGATACAAATTTCCAGTCACGTTTTAGGGCGCACGGATCAACCGATTTGAATGGTTCAAAAAACATTCGATTCCTACTGATAGGGAAAAGAGCTGATTAGTTTTTGGCAAAGGCAGGTCCAGCCGTTTCGGAGATACGGAGCAAAGAGTGCGGAAAATAGAAATCAAATTTTTGAGAGAACGGAGTATCCGATTTGAATGATCTAAAAAACATTCAATTAGTAATGATTGGGAGAAGTGTTTATTAGTTTTTGGAAAAGGCAGGCCCAGCCATTTCGAAGATACGGAGCTAAATATGTAAAAAATGGCAGTTTTTGATAGAAGTAAGCGTCCGATTTGAATGATTCAAAAAACTTTCTGCTTGTCTTAACAAAATAATTGATTTTGGAAAAAAAAATTTTGTTCCATTTTTTTTTTTTTTTTTTTTTTTTTTTTTTTTTTTTTTTTTTTTTTAGTTTTTTGTTGAAACAAATAATTTCAACTTTGCAATTCAGTTTATATAATTCTTATAAATATTAGACAATGTTACAATATTTATAATAATCTATTTGAAAACATTCAGTATTCCTCGAACATTTCGTTACGGTACGGGAAGTTCCAGCAATTTGCCTTAAGGCACGATGCCACCCACCCCACTAGTTAAGATCTTTATTGACATTATTTTGTTCATTACATGATTTTCGTTAAAATGTATATTTTAGGAGATATTTGCAAAAAAACGAAGAAAAATGCAAAAAATATATGAATCTTTAGTGGACAGTAACTTGAAAAGTATTAGTTTTTTTTTTTGAAAAACTATAAAAAACATTTTTTCTTATAATTACCCCCGGGGGGTGATGGCGCAACCCGAATTGTTTTCACTTTTGAACTTGAGGATAAGATGAACCTAATTCCAAAATTTCATTCAATTCGGAGCACGGTAAAAAAATTCAGACCTAAAACGCTCCGTTTAATGCACTACATGAAATATGATAATCTCAAAACTATGTAACGTTTGTGACTGTAAATGCTATTTAATAAATTGTGCACACAAGAGTACATTGCATTCATATTTCAAATATTATATATATTAGGGTGATCCTTAATATGGACATTTTCGAATTTCCTTGCTTCCAGGGGCTAAAATGCTTCCAAATTGATAAAAAAATCCTCTATAAGTTTTAGCTTTTAATATTGTCTTTAAGATAGTACGCTAACAAAAGTACATTGCATTTAAATTTCCAGTATTATATACTCTAATAATATAAGATCTAATACTATATACTTCTAATATTATATTATATACTACCTAAAATATTAAGGGCTTATATTATATATTATACTTAATATTAAGGGCTAAAACTTTTAGAGATTTTTTTTATCGATTTGGACGCATTTAAGCAACTGGGAGCAATAAAATACAAAAATGTCGATATTAAGAACCACCATAAGGATAAGATATATATGGTACTAACCTGCAAATGTTTGGACTCACTTAGGAAAATCGTTGTCCTTTTTATTCATCACTTTATTCATCATTCTCAGACAGTTTAATGTAACAGATTCGTTGAGAATAACTTTCAATTTACAAGTTAAAAACATTTACATTTGATATTTTTGAATTGTTGTGAAAAAAAAACGAAAAAAATCAATCCAGCCGTTTTTGATGGTTGATATGTTGGCCATTCGATTTCATGATGGCCCCATAAATTTTTAAATGATGATGCATTGAGTAAAAGTTAATTTGAGTTAAAAAAAATAGTTAATGTAATTCAAAGTGATAATTTGTAACATTGTCCATTTTACAATATTTCGAAAATTAACATATTTCTGTACAATAAATAAATGAGAATTTAAAGGAAACGCTCAAAAATCATTCTTAAAATGTTTTTCTATATCAATACGTACATTAAACTGTCTGAGGAGAACTATAAATAAAGTGACGAAAGAAAAAACGATTTTCCCAAGTGGGTCCAGTGAGTATATATACAAGTATATAAAATAAGTATGCATATTTGTATATGTATATCAATAAGCTCACCTTGACCATTACATTAGTACTAAAGATGTATGATGAGAAGAATACCCAGAATACATCATAAATCAGCAATCCAGTCAATAATAATGTTGATACTTTTAATGATGGCAATCGCACAAACGCTATGAAAGCCACGCATAAGCCCATACCCATGGCTGAAAATTAATCGCAAATTCATTAGTAAATATAATCTAATTTATTTTTAATTGCTTATCATATTAAGGAATAAAGAATAGGGTAGTTTATGAACTAACATTAGAAACTTTAAACTACTTTTTAAATATTTCAGAACTAGTATGTATGGTTTTTATTCGGTTTGATAATTTGCGATTACCGATAATATATTTCGATAAAGTATATTTATTAAAATTAAGTCTTTTGAAACCTTTTTTCTCAAATCACAATATTTCTCTAAAAATAAAAATCTTAAAATGCACAAAAGTAGCGTAATATATAGTAATAGTGCAGCTTGCGGAGAAATGCAAAATACACGATATCTAAAATCCTAACAATTATTATAAAAATTAAAACAATTTATATTTGACAAAAATCTAAACTTGATCAGAAATTTTTGCGGCTTTTATTTTTACGCCTGCCTAAGAATTATTATTTTTGCCATTAACACATTTAACAAATATCATAATTCTTTTATTACATTTTCATCTTTATCCACAATTATGTATATAAATAAAAATTCGGTAATTCTGTTGCTATGAAACATGGGAAGTTCTATTGCCAGTTTAATATTTTTCTACTACTTTTTTATATCAATAACTGCTTTCAAGTGGACACCCAACATTGGCAACTATATCTATTCTATTATATTTTTTTATGTATTTTAACTGCACAATAGCAAATCTATGTTATTCACGACAACAGTTAACAAATGTTGTAATATAAAACATCACTTTCATACCGTCCATCAGTAACCAGTGTCCGGTCAGCACCCAAATAAATACTATTGCGACAGCCAAAGAAAAGCTTAAAAGTTCTGCTGGCGTGAATCTGCCGCAAGGCCCAAAAGAAATTTTATTATAATTAGGTGTAGTGGAAATTCCTCCAGGGCCATTGCAAGCCCCGGTCGCCGAAGCTGTCGTACTCGGAGAGAAACATGGCCTGGTGGCGTACTGACACATCGGAAGAAGTAGAAAGGCCAGGGCTACAGTCGCTATGACTGAAATAATATTATTCAATTAAGTCGTTTCTACGAATATAAATTATTTTTAACTTCCCGAAGGAGAAGTTTATGTTTTCATCAAAAAATCCGATTCGCTAATTTTATGTTTTCTCGACGTTTCAAGACATTCTGAATCGAATATATACTAAGACGATCGACCGACCCGTTCTTTTGAAATTTGGAAAAAAGTGTTAAACTTTTCGTCCACATTTAAGCTCATACTACCTGTTGAAAAAAAATTGACCCGATTTTTATGAAACTTTTTTTGATGATATATATCATGGTCTTATACAACTTATTGAAATATTACGGCCTAGTTTAATTTTAAAAATTCATCAAAGTTTGAGAAAATGAGTAGTTTTTTTGACGTTTGTTAAAATTAAAATTAGACGACTTACTTGGTATAAAGATTGAGTTCTTGGTTTTAATAAACATACTGAGCCATTAAAGTTCTATGGAAACTGATTCAATTATAATAATTGTTGATTTTTGAAAATTTGCTTTTAGAAAATACTTCGAGTCAAAGTGTTAGTTTGTGTTCAATTATGTGTAATAAATCCACTCAGAATACTTTTAATCACTCATAAATTAATTTATTTTTTATTGATTAAGTCGATTATTCACACATATCGGGAAGTTCATGAAACTTGCCTCAAGGCTAAATACCAAACCAACTAGTTATAATTTTAAAGTTAAATAAAAACTAGTTGGTATTGGTATTTTGCCTTGAGGCAAGTTACATGAACTTCCCGATATGTGCAATTAATGGACCTAATCAATAAAAACTAAATTAACTTATGAGTGATTAAAAGAATTCCGATTGGATTTATTACACATAATTGAAAGCGAACGAACACGTTAACTCTGAGTATTTTCTAAAAGCAAATTTTCAAAAATCAATATTTTTTATAAGGACTTTAATGGTTTAATATGTCCGTTAATTAACGATTACATTTTTTCTACAAAATATTTTGTGCGAATATAAATATAATTTTTATAATTTTTTTAAATTTCACTGCGTGATTGTAAAAAAACATATGCCCGCGGCAATAGTAATATAGAGATAGTGCACAAATAAAATATTTTTAGATATCAAACAATAAAAAACAACTATTATAATATATAGACAGCCTCAGGCAAGAATTGCGTAAAGGAAAACGAATTGCCAAATCCAAATAAGTCAAACTCGAAAAAGCAGTAGTATTTAATTTTTGTAAAAAAGGTGAAATAGAAAATACGGACGAACTTCGTCAACGAAGCCAATTATAACTAATATTTAGTAAATCAGACAGTATTTTTGAGCAACTAAGTTAAATACCATTAGATGTATAAAATATACCATATGTTGATTTGAAATATTTTGTTTATATATGCAATAATTTGTAATTTAAACTTAAAATATAATAAACTGAATTTTAACCACAAAATTTATTCATTAAATTCAAACACTACAAATCGTTAATTCAATTTTGATTACCTTTGTAGCGATGCTTCTACCGTAAAAGAAACAGAAGTAAAATGTTACTCAAATAGAAATTGGAGATGTTTCTACTCATTTTTCAGTTTTTTAAAGGAAACTTAAATAAATTATATTTTAAATATACCATATCAAATATCTTCGAGAAATATTACTTGCAACATTTGCACAGAGAAAGTATACTGAGAGGTAATAACTAAGATCAAATACAAGACAAATCAAATATTGTAAACGCATATTTCATAATCATCAAAAAATAAAATTTTTAGGTTGCGATAAAATTACCCTAATGCCCATTAAACGTTTTAATGTTTAATGCATCATTAAACAAAAAGTGTTTAAAAAACGAACTGAAGCGTATTTTTACCGTTTTTTACCATTTTTTAAGAAAAATGTTATAAAAATTGCGTATGTTTGCGATAAATTCAGAAACTACTGAACGGAGTTTGATAAAATTTTGTAGCCCTTTAGAACAACAGTCCAAGTTACAAATATATAGAATAAAATATAATAAATAATGTATAGAATAGTTTTATATTAATTATTGATCTCAATATTTATTATTACAAATTGAATTATCATTATAAAACATTACTGTGTATTTATCGGTTTGTGCTATAAATTCCTTGTTTTATAAACACATATTCAAAAATTATAGCGAATATGAAAAGGTATTTGCTGTTGGATTATATTAATTGTTTATACTATATAACAATATAATAGTACGATTATGGAATAATACAAGGCAAAAGTCATATTTCATTGAAATCTTCGATATGTGAAAAATATACTTGGAAAATTTTATTCTATGAATTCGTATTTTACCTTATAAATAATCACTTCGTGGGTTCCAAATACAAGATAACATATTTAATTATTTAGTATTTAGAGGTATTTTATTCAATTATTTTGTCTTGACGATTATTCTGATTACAGTATAATTCATTTACTAAATATATTTAAAAAGTACTTACTGGCTGTGCAAATCGCGAACAGCATTTGCATCGAATCGAAGAAGAAAAACATTACCAGCAAAGAAACCGACGCTCCTAACGGTAGACACAAAGCCTGCACTGTATCTAATGTTTGCACATCTGGAATTAATTAATAAATAATTAACTTTTATTGTACATAAAATATGTACACACATTAATTAGTAACATTACACACAGTATATATACACAAAAGGTATATATAGAAGACAGTTCAATGTATTACACTTGTTTGGTATGAACGTAGCCAAAGTGTAAGAAAATGTTACAAATATATGATCTAGTATAAAGCACAGCTATTTTGTGAGAATTAATATGAAACAATAATACATATATAGATATACAACATTATGAAGTGAATATAATTAAATTATATGTGGGGAATCAAGCAAGCTAGACATCGAGGAAAAACAAAAAAAATGATTTGTCATATTTTCATATTATAAAATTTTCAGAATCAATAAATTGTTTATATTTTCATCCAATGGATTTTATATTTTTATATTAATAACTACTTCCCACACTCGTGACCCCGACGTGATAGATGAAGACAGAGAAGGAGCATTATTTGGGGATTTAAAAAATGTAGACTTTGATGCAGAGCCATAATCACTGGTCTTCTGCGACTACTTATAAGGTATGTCCAGTCCTCGGGTCATCGCGAGTTAACTCATTTACTCTACTGACACCGGACTTCTGTTGGTATACCCATTTTGTATACCCAGACCTCAGTGTTTATTGCTGACACAAAAATTAATTCTGAGCATAGACTTTGGGTCATGAATTTAATTCACTATCAAATACTTCATTGGAATCGCAATTCAACCTCTCCTTGTCCGCTAACTCACCAAATCGTCTTTCGAAGCATTAAACTTTGGAACTGCATCTGGTCAAGATGATGACTCTTTAATACGCTCTCCTTCGAATCACACCCGATTCGGGAATCCGATATATGATCCAAAGGGCTACTGAAGTCGAAGATTATTTTAATCATTGCGAAAATTCATATTTTTACAGAGAGCCATCTGTTTACCCAAAATATTGTAGAAATAAAAATTAATACAGTATATCGAGGCTGAATCTTCGAAGTTCACCAGGACATCGAGGTTCAGGAAATTCACCACATGATTTATATTCAGAATCATATGCTGACTATGAAGATGATGGAAGGACGAATTACCTACTATACGGTGGATCTGCCGACGAAAACCACATATATATTAAAAACATTATCTTTTATGTATGTGGTGGGGATCATTCGGATTCATTAGATATGTAAATTATAAATATCCCGTCATCATAAGAAACGTGAATATAACAACTAATCATTTTACGATGTATATTGATTGATCTTTACACCACAACCTTCTTCTCTCAATACTTTTGCTAGTCTCTCCGGCTGTTATAAGTACTACTCCGAAGGGTCCCAAGTTAAATAAAAAAAAGCCCTGGTCAAAATTGACCAGTGTGAGAAAAGAGCTAATATCCATGGATGTGCAGTCATCCTCACCTTAACGCTTATTAATTTAGGCTGTTTCGGTTAAGCTGTCTTTTATTCTGACCCGTAAATTTTCCAAAATGATATGGTGAAAGAAATGGTGGAACTAGTGAAAAAATTGCTTTAGATGAAGTAAACGTGGAGCATATAAAAAATAGATCAAAAGCAAAGCAGTAATTGCTTCTAATGGTGATCTAAAGCTATTAAATAAGTCTGGTCTTCTAATGAAATTATATAGATGTGTTGTAATACATACATTGCAATAATAAAACCTAATTCATTTTATCGTATTATTTCGAATTAGTATGATGCACCCTGTCCGTAAATAGTCCCTCAATCATAAAACCCTTTTTCTAAGAATTTCTTGAAGTCGTCTCACCGAAATCAAAGATCAAAATATAATCGGATACTAAATGTAATATGAAGTCGCTTGCACCCAAAAATAAACCAATCAGATTTCTTCTTCAAAAATGCACGGGAAAAATGCACACTACAGAAGATGCTTTTTTGACAAAAAGGCAAAAATTTAAAACATAAAAGACTGAGTAATCTGATTGAGTTAGAATACTACTAGTCTTAATAAGTGTATTCTTTTATATTATTTTGATTTTTGTATAAAATAAGTGTCTGGTTTTGTGAAAACCTCTGAAAAGTCAAGATGTTTAGAATATTTCATAGCTATGACTGTCCCGAAATGTAGAAATAATATAAGCAATCAATACGAATTAGGATGTAGCAAATTCTAACTAAAAATTCAAATAGTATTTTTACTATTTATATTGATAAATAGTTTTTGATTAAAGGTGAAAATAGTTTCACCAAAAACTATTTTTACCTTCATATATTTTCAGGTGTAATATTTCATTGATTTCAATCCATTTTAGTTTAACATGTTCGTCATAAGGTCGATTCGAAAGACAAAACTATGAGAAATATAATTAAAATATCTAGATTAGATCGTAATATTTCTACGTTAAAGAACTTTCATGCTAGTTAAAGGTGATAACTGTAAATTTGATTCGATCATTAAAGTGATGTAATATGTGAACTACAACGATAAATATACACATTTCCTATTAGAATTGTATTAAACAAACATTGAAATCTGTCAATATTTATTTAATTTATATATACATCTCATTTGATTAAATATTTATTTTTGTGAGTAATGCAAATATTTAAAATGTTATTAATGAAACCATCACAGACCAAAACAAATATTCATGCTATGAATTTTTCACGCGTACGGATTTAAAATTAAATAAAAATATATTTTTATTGCATAATATACCATATACTTGATAAAAATCAGATATTAGGGCTATGACAAACTATAAAAATTTTGTATACATTATTATTTATTATAGTGTGTTAACACAAACGTTATTATTTATTACTATTGTAGCAGATAATTTAATAATATCTATAATATGCCATTTATAAATTTTCTCGATAAATAGCAATATATCATAAAATTATAGCATGACTGCACTTAACAAAAGTGAATAAATAAAGAATATAATCATGTAAGATTAAATTTTAGTGAACTATCTCAAAAATATGCATTATACCATTATGCTAATTTTTAAGATAGTTCACTAAAATTTCTCCTTGTTAATTTATTTCTTTGATGAAAGATTTATTGTGGGTTCACTGGCAGTTGGATGATTCATGTTCATAAATAACTAATTCAATTTACATGCAGTATTTGTAGTATGCAATAAAAATTATCAATAATAGTCAGCCAGACCGACGATTTCATGTGTCAAATATAAATTACAAGCATGAATGACCATAAAATGTAGCGATTTTATTGATTACACATGGCAATTAATACCTTATTTTGAGCCTTTTTCTATAAGATTTTTAACTTCCCGTAGAGCAAGTTATAGTAATCGCAAAAAAATCAAAAATGAAAATTTTTATATATCTTTACGTTTCAAAACCTTCTGAACATTTTGGCATACCTTAGAAAAAATGGATGTATGTGTGTGGGTGTGTGTGTGCGTGTATGTGTGTGTGTTCGGATACAAATTTTCATCGACGATTTCGGGAACACGGATCAACCGATTTAAATAATTCAAAAAACATTCGATTCGTATTGGTAAGTAGACGTGCTGATTAGTTTTTGGCGAAGGCAGGTCTAGCCGTTCCGAAGATACGGGGCAAAAAGTGCCAAAAATGGTAACTCAGTTTTTAAGAGAACGGAGTGTCCGACTTTAATAATTCAAAAAGCATTTTACTTGTATTAACAAGATGAAGAATTGATCAAATTTTCATGAAGGCAGGTCTAGCGGTTTCGGAAATCTAATGAAAAAAGTAAAAAAAATGCAATTTGGCGGTCAAAAATGATCATTAGACATATGCACATCAAATTATCAGATGTTTTATAGAGATTTTAACAATAAATATAAATTTTGTTTACATTTCTTTGGGTTCCGTACTACGTTTATCCGTTAGCCGCCGATGCGGCGCTTACGCGTTTTGACATATCGTCACTATGCAGTTAAAGCAGTACGATTGCTTTGAAAAAAAGTTCAGAACTTCCAAAATATGTCAAAATAAAGAAAATTTTTTTTCAATAAAAAAATGTTTTTTTCAGAAAGTATTTTTTTGTCAAATTTATAGTTTCTCAAAAATCTATGTTTTTTAAGTAAAATTTTTTCAAAAATGTTAATCGTTGTTAGAAAAATAATAATTTTTGGTACGAAAAGTTCCAGCAATTTGTCTTAAGGCACGATGCCATGCGCCCCACTACTTATAATTTGAATTGTGAAAAATGTGTTAGTGATTTACGCAGGTAAGAATAAGTAGGGAAGCTGGGGGCTATATGTAATGTGGTAACTAGTAACTGTAACGAGCGTTTTTCAATGTGATCTTTAAAATTACATATTACTTTTCACATATTCTAAATTATGTCATTCGATCCAGTTCCTTTCGAAATATTTTCTATTAATAATGTATTAAAATACTATACTGTTATACCAATGATATCGAAGGATTTCATTTATTACGCTAAATATCATTAACAAAAATACGATAAGGTGTAAATGTATAGTTTAGTTTCCATTCATATATCTATAGTGGTTCTACGCGAAATGTAGGTTGCTGCGTTATTGATAAAGAGTACACGCAAGTATGCATAAATATAAAAAACCGTTAATTTGGATTAAATAAATATATATATATATATATATATATATATATACATATGTATATATATACTTATAAATATTGAACTTGCGATAACGTGCAAGTAGTAGGTACGTTTCACATCAGCGCAATCACCAATGCAGTAAAAAATGTTTTTTTTTGGTCTTTGAGTCAATGGAACGTTGTTTTATCAATTTAATAATATAATACTTTGATACCTAATCACTTTATTCTCTTTTTTGTCTACAAAACTAAATAATCAAAATAATACAAAGCGGACTTTCACAATGTTAATAATTATATACTTGCAAAAGACTTATATAACGCAGAAGCAAAAACACAAACGTATAATATACAATGCCAAAATATATACGACAAGAAATTTGATAAAATACGACTTAATTATTTCATAAATTATTAGAAAAATTAAGATATATTAGTTTAAATAATTTAATATTTTTGCAATTCACTAATAATTAGAGAATAATAGCAAAATATTAAATTGTTCAATATTTGTTGAGTGTTTGATTTAAAAAAGATTTAGTGGCAAAGGTGAATTCTTTCAATTTTGAAATAATCAAGAAAGTATATATATATATATATATATATATATATATATATTAGGGTGATCCTTAATATGGACAATTTCGAATTTCCTTTCTCCCAAGAGCTCAAATAGTTCCAAATTGATAAAAAAACAATTCTCTGAAAATTTTAGCTCATAATATTGTCTTTCAGATAGAGCGCAATTCAATCAAAGTTTTGTATGGAAATAGCATGAACAAATTTTCAAAGATTTTGCAGAGCGTCGAATTTTCAATAACAAATGACACGAATTCATTTGTCGCTAAGTTATACTTAATTTTTTTTTTAATTTTCAAAAAATTTTCCATGCTATTTCCATACAAAATGCGGATTGAATTCCGCACTATCTAAAAGTTAATATTAAGAGCTAAAACTTTCAGAGAATTGTTTTTTATCAATTTGGAATCATTTGAGCCCTTGGGAGCAAGGAAATTCAAAATGACCACATTAAGGACCACCCTAATATATATATATATATTTAATTAAGGACCACCCTAATATATATATTTAATTGGAAATATAGATTTAAAATATCTTTCCATTTGAAAATAAGCCCATCTTGGGCACTGCGGTGTGAAATAGCAATGGGAAATCTCTCACACTATTCTTCCCTGAATCGAGTTAGAGTTTAATTCAGCCCACGGACCATTATTTATTATTATATTCGTGTCTTGTTATCAATAATTGCTGGGAACCATCAATCATATTATGTTATATATCATTTATATCATAGGTTTCCAAACTTTTTTGTGTTGTGGACGCCTTGGGTTTTGCTAACCTTCTCCCCATTGTCCCTATATCGATTTTTTTTATAATTGTCTAACTGTACAAACATTTATTATTAAATATTTATTTAATATATTGTAAATTTATCAACATTTAGCATTCGACTAATGATGCCCAGTATTCATCTTATTTTTGTTAGGAGATCAGTTATAAAGCTCAACCTTATTCCTACTGTTTATTTTACAACTATTAAACCGTTCTTTATCTTTATCTTTAGAAATGCTATAACAGTCTCAAAAAACGTAAAGAAAATTGTTGCCTTTTAATAACAGCAAATTGGATCTTTATAAGCTCAACGATATTGTGACCACAAATCAAATGCCTACTTAAGAGGGTATTCTAGTGTAGAGCGATGAATTTTAGGTCATTTTCAAAGTGTCGTAAAAGAAAGCAATGAATGTTTTTTTCATACCACATTTTCTACCACTTGTTTATTAATATTATTAAAATACAAAACAAAATCTAAAAAATAAAGAAGTTGAGAATTGTAAAAGCTGGCAGCTGATGACAAGTGGGTCTCAAAAAATTGGCACCTCAGTCTTGACATGATTTCAGCCCTCCTAGCCATCCGAAATAAAAGAAATAAAAAGATTATAAATCTACAATGATGTCGCAATCGCCCGAACTAGCGATGAGTAAAAAATGTTTTTTTACTAATTGGCGACGGTTTGAAAAAAAGTGTTTTTTTACTGTTTTTTGAGTTTCTCGAATTTTTTTAAAATAGTAAAAATTGTAATTTGGGGATAATCCTAGTTCGGGCTATAGATAGGTCTATAAACAAGACTCTCTGAACATTTCAAGCGTATCGGTCGTGTAGAACTCGAGAAATCGTGTCAACAATACTGAAAAGTCTGTTCTGAGAAAAACGCATTTGAAGTTTTGCGTGAAGCCAAACCAGCATGGAGACCGAGTCAGTAAAATGCCTATATCTCCGAAAATAATTCAAATTTTCAAAAATTTTCTCTTACCCATATTCTTAAATACTTAAACTTTGAAAATATGAAATAAAAAATCGATTTTTTTGAATTCCTACACTAGAATACCCCCTTAATGTACATCTTTTTCAAAAAAAAAAATATTTATTTTTAGTTTTATTTAAAAATATTGTATATAACTTTTTATTATACTTTTTTTTTTGAACTGCAATCAGAACCTAATAGACCTATAAGCTGTTGTGCTGATTTTGACTTAATACTCACATCTCTGTATGACATATTATTATTACAATTTCTGTAATAGGGCGAATATTTTTATTGGTGCAGCAATGCCGAGTGAGGGTCATTTCCTTGAAAACATTGCTATCTATTATTATAGATAAGTAAATATATTAACAATTAAATAAATATATTATAAGTAAATAATATGTTGGTATGATGGTCCACTAACGTGGACCCCGATTTTTTTTTCTCGTTGACATGGAGTCATGAACCCCTGTTGATCAATGTGGACCACTTTGGGAATCACTGACCTATATTATTAACTTCCCGTAGGGTAAGTTATAGTAATCGCAAAAAAATCAAAAATGAAATTTTTTTGCATTTCTCGACGTTTCAAAGGTTTCTGAATACTTTGGCATACCTTAGAAAAAATGGATGTATGTGTGTGTGTGTGTGTTTGTGTATGTGTGTGTGTATGTGTGTGTGTGTGCGGATACAAATTTTCGTCGACGATTTCGGGAACACGGATGAAGCAATTTGAATAATTCAAAAAACATTCTATTTGTATTGATAAGGAGACGTGCTGATTAGTTTTGGCGGAGGCAGGTCTAGCCGTTCCGAAGATATGGGGCAAAAAGTGCCAAAAACGGTAACTCAGTTTTTAAGATAACGGAGCGTCCGATTTGAATAATTCAAAAAACATTTTATTTGTATTGACAAGATGAAGAATTGATCAAATTTTCATAAGGGCAGGTCTAGCGGTTTCGGAGATCTAACGGAAAAAGTAAAAAAAATGCCATTTGGCGGTCAAAAATGATCATTAGACATATGCACATCAAATTATCAGATATTTTATAGAGATTTTAACAATAAGTATAAATTTTGTTTACATTCCCATGGGTACCGTATCAGTGTTTATCCGTTAGACGGCGAGCAGTACGATTGCTCTGAAAAAAAGTTCAGAATTTCCAACAAATGTCAAAATAAAGAAAACACTTTTTTTAAAAAAAGTAATTTTTTGTCAAATTCATAGTTTCTCAAAAATTCTAGTTTTTTCGAAGTAAAATTATTTCAAAAATGTTAATAGTTTTTAAAAAATAACAATATTTAGTACGGGAAGTTCCCGCAATTTGCCTTAAGGCTAGATGCTATGCGCCCCACTTTTTTTTATGTTACTAATTCAAATGGTTCTTGAAACATTAAAAAAATATTGATTGAAGATCCTATAATTGGAATAGTCGGGCTGTTACACAAATAATAATTATTTGAATATAGTTCACATAATCCTCTTATTAAAATAACAGCGAAACACGGATTTAAACTTATATGATAATTATTCCTGAAGTATAATATAAAATAATAAAATTACTTACTATTTTCCTGCGTTTTTTCGAGACCATTCAATAGGCCAATTGTTATACTGCCTCCGCTGCCTATTTGCATGGCGTTCTGCCTCTCCCTTTCTTGTCTTTCACGGGCCTCCTGCTCCATATTAAGACTTCTAAAACTCCCATAAACAATTAATAGCATGGAGATCAAAAATGTTGAGACTCTTGATGAATCCATTATTGAATATGCCCATTGATATTCATGAAATTCCACCTGTTGTGGCTGACCTGCTTGTGCACCAGACATTTTGATTTTCTATTTAGATCGAAATAATCTATAATTGGCGAGGTTTTTGGTGATAAATCACTACACAAATTTATTATATACAAATCGCACTCTTGAATATTAAGTTAATAGTTTATGCATAGAAAAAATCAGTTACATCATAAAGTTAGTTACTTCTTCAGTTTTCGTTTAGTTCAGATTTCACAATAAATTTAATATATTGTTCTGCATTCCACTTTGTTAATATTCAATATTTTTAATGTAAGAGATTGGAAAATATATATCACAACATTAATCCACAAAATGTTCATAGAAATGAGATTCAAATTTATCTCAATTTGTTGATATCAAATAAAATGCAAAAACCATATACTTTTACTTATCGTTCATAATGCTCACAAACTTATTTGAGTATTTTTATTGATTTAAAATTAGTTGATCACAATATTAAAGAAATATATAAATTTCTATGTATAAGTTAGTTTAATTACTTGATCACAAACACTATGAGTGACTGTTAATCTCAACTTTTGTTCCAATAAAAAATGTTATATGTTTGTACCGCTGCAATTTGTTTTGGTCTTCACCATATGTTTGCTATTTTAATGTTTTATTTATAAATAATTCCTGATCAAAATACAAGAAGTTATTTATTAAATTATAAACAAGTTTCTATTATAAATTTCGCAGATTAACAATTAATAATATGACTTCGACAATATTGCTATCGTTTTTATAGAAATTTTATTTACTTTATGAAAATTAACGAGTTTATTAAATACGCACAACGTTTGTCTTCAATCACTAATCTTTACGAATCTTAAAAATCAGAATAACTTGATTTATTTAAAATATAAAATTAAAAAATAAACAATAATTTAATCTATTTTCACTTATCACTACTTAGTCTTCTTGGAGTTAGAATGTCGTAAAAAATAGGCAAAATTATAGTAATAAAAATTTTTTTTTTTAGAATTTTGTAAACTATGATGCTTTAATCAACCTTACTTTATTCCCCAAAATTATTTCAACTTATTTCTTGTTTGTAATCTTATATTTGAGAGATTCTGAGTAGAATCAATTCTAATTCTCATATAAGATGCAGTAAGAACACATCAGGTGTACTTTTTCCAGTAATTTCATTTGTCCAAATTGGTGGTGTTTGGTGGGTAGAGGAGTACCAAAATGGTATCGCTGGTGCCCTCCAGACAGCCACCAGTTAGTTGCTACGACCTGAAAAATAATTTAAAAAAATGCATTGTACACTTATTTACATATGACTTATACAAAAATATTAAAATATAATATATAAAAATAATAGATAATAAAATATACGATATTCAGAATAGATTAAAGAACAAATCTTTACTGTATTTACTGTATTTTTTCTCTACTACTAAAGTTAGTTATGAAAATTAAAGTTGAGTAATAAGCTTAAAATTTTCACACGATGATTTAGAAAGTTATATTAGTAACTGATACACAGACTCGTCTTAGTTACTTAGCAGAAAATGACCACAATTTTACATTGAATTATAAAGTAATTGGTGTCATTACCGTTTTCAGTTGTGAAAAACATGATTACTTAACATAATTTTCCTAGTCATTCTCTCGGGTTTTGTATTTGTATTTTTGGAACACGTTTTGTATTTCAAAACATATTAACCCTCCGTCGGTCGGATATTTATTCACCTTCGAACGGTCAGAGTGGTCTGGCTGGACCACCATTCATTTTACATGCATTTATATGGGGTAAATGAGTTTTTGGTGTCTTATATATTAACGATTATTAGTAATAAATATTTATAGTTTTGATTTTTTCTTTTTCTTACCGTCTTTTGCATGTGTTGAGCTTGCTTATACTAAAAAAAATTATATAATATATTATATTATATAAAAAAAATCAAAAAATATAAAAAAATCGTTGCTTTTTTTATTATTTTTATTTTTCTGTTTTATATCAATGAAAAACAATATTTATTCTTTTTGGGCTCCTTTGAAATGAATGTGAAATTCAAATGAAAACGAAATGAGGTGCGTCGCCTTTGAAATGAGTTGTAAAATTCAAGTTGAAAATATAATTTCACTACAGGTTTTCCAAAAAAGTTTTCGAACGCAGTGGGTAGAAAAATTGTTGATAATGTGCGCATTACTCATCCGATTTTCAATGTTTGCGATGACAAATAAGTTTGGTAGGTTTTCACAGAACTCTCGTCGTGAAAATGCTAACATTCATGTTGCAACATATAGCAAAGAATATATAAAATGCAGTTTGAATAGAAAATACCAAAAAAAGACAAAATACTGGTTTACATATATCAAAAAGCGTATATTTCATACAAAATGTATGGGTGGTCTAGACAGACCACTCCGACCGTTCGAAGTATAAAAAAGTTAATATCCTTATAATTATCCTTCTGTACATTTTTTCGTCCTGATTTTTTCATTGATCGACAGCTAATGAAATTTTAGGGAAAGTCAAGAAATTTCAAGTCGATAGGATTACTAGAAGTATTTTTTTTAAATTGAAGTCGAAAAAAGTCTGGCCAGACCACGCCGACCGACGGAGGGTTAAAATGTGTGAAATTCAAAATTAACATGACTACAACGGTTCATAGAGTAGTCCGACAACCGCCAACTATTGATGCTCAAATTTCTTCATTAACTCGCCCATGTAATTTCTAATTAAGTAATTATATAATCTTAAACAAGTCATTTATATATTCATTCCCAATTGAGTTTGAGGGAACAATAGCGTTTAACCGAGAAACCAATTGAATATTGGCAATGCCCAAAGATCTGATTCAGGTGCAATTGAATCTTTTTGCAAAATTAAAAGTGCAAGATAAAAGTGTTTTCGGGGTTCTAGTAATTAATATTCGTCGTACGCACAAAAATCTGATGAATAAGTGTATGCTGTAAGCCCAATTGCAAAATTATACATATTATACGTCTTGAGAATTTTGTTTTGTTATTGGCTTTATAAACTTGTACAAAATGGCCAAGCATAGTTGTGAAATTCTTTAGATAATGGCCAATGTACAAGCTTACAAAGAAAATAAAAAAAAAATAAAAAAAAAATGGCCAAGCAAAAAATTACGAGACGTAATAAAAATTTTGGATCAATATTATCTGTGCAAATATAAAAATCATTACAATAGTTACAACTGTAAGAATTTTAGAATAAGAATTGTAATTTATTTTCTTTAATTATTTAGCAAACATCATTACTAACACTAAAGAGACTGCGGTTTTCTTTAAAATATAAAAATTTCACTTTTTGTGTTATTCATTTGTTACACTTAAAAAAGTTTCAATGTTGAATGAACCAATCTATATGCATAATTAATTAGGTATATATATATATATATATATATATATATATATACATATATATTTATATACATATATAATTAATGTATGTTAACATATTTTAGTAATTTTGATGTTGTGTGAAATTAAATCATCAGACCCATACATCAATTAAAAATTGTAGAAATTTAACTTTTTTAATTTTTAGGAAAATCGTTATTATTTCCATACGTTTCGACATATTATCTTAAGTCATCTTCAGTAGACTAAAAACCAGAATATAAAATAACTAAACTATGTGACAATGAAACAGATAAATAAAACAAATATATAAAGAAGTAATATGGTGTAAAAACATGTATATTGGAATGTTCCTAAGTATTTTATGAACATAATAATTCACTATAGCACTAATAAAATAATTCTTGTCAGTTTAAATCGGAAAAATATGTATTTTATAATTTTCTACAATTTTCAATTGATATATTGCCCTATATATATATATATATATATATATATATATATATATATATATATATATATATATATATTGAAACAGTTCGGAAAAGAAACAATCAATATATTGAAAAAATCCAGGACTTATCTATTGAATATATATATATATATATATATATATATATATATTAATATATATTATAGAATTTTGCGATATGAGTGAAACGAATATTAAATGTAAAATATGAACAGATTTTTAACACACTTTATTTAATAATTACAGACGTTTCGAGACCATGGTATGCCTCATCTTCAGTGTAATTTCAGAACTGTAAAAATTATATACTAATACATTATATAATATTTTATTTAAATTATATTTAATTTTTGAAAAACATAAAACGCCACTATCTCTTACAATGCTCGCGAGTACTGTGTCAAGCATTGTAAGAGATAGTTGGTGGTAATTATTAAAAATCTGAGTGTTGTTCATATTTAACATTTCATATATATATATATATATATATATATATAAATAATTAATTATCAAAAATTATTTCCCCTGGTCAAAGTTTTAGCAACAGCAACTTAATTCAAAGCAGGATTCTAACTAGAATCACATTGATAAGTTGCACTCCCAATCCTAATGTGGTACCTGTAATATTTTATAAATATGGCATGGAAATAACCTTGTAATATAAAAAATTACTGATATTTCTAATGCTTATATCATTCTAACAGTGGTAATGAACTAAAACACCAAAAGTACAAACTGCATTAACATATACAGATTTGTTTATATTGATATGCTGTTACATCTTTATTATTTGAAACAATAGAATTGCGTTTTTGTATTTGAATTCGTCATTAGCATATATATCTAAATTTTATTACCTAATAACTGGATTGTTTACATTTTCAATGAAAGTCCAGTATTCCAATACATATAACAATTATTATTGTTAAAGATATTGTATGAAAATTCTTACCTTGAAAGTTTCAAGACTGAAGTATGACTTCAGAAATAAAGACAATTAAAAATGTATTTGGTAATATGTTCTAAGTGAATTCTAGTTTAAATATCACTCATTGTTCGTATTTCGAATAATAATACACTATGGCTTATCCTGTAATCTTGAATAAAATAAACATAATATGAAGATAAGAAGGTGGAGAATTTAAAAGATAAGATTATATATAAACAAAGCATAGTGTCGGGCTATTTCATTTGAAAGCATATATTTAGGGTATGTGCACGCCAGAAGAATATTAATTTTGCAATACAAAAATGGATTGAGAGGAACTTTGTGTCTCACAAATAAAAACCAAGCTAATGGGATCATTTTTTCCTTCCGCATATTTTATAGTCATTTGCAGATTAGCGTTAATAGTTAAACTAATGATCATAATTTCGTATAGTAATTTCCTTAAAATGTATCATTATTCTCAAATTATTTTTAGGTATTATGGCTTCTTACATGTGATATTTTAATAATGCCATTGCACTGTTCCGATTGATTATTCATTACAACTAGTATATCAAAAACCACTGAAAATCTTTTAAACACACTTAAATAGCATTACCAAACATATTGCTACAATAGTTTGGATTCAATCGCACGACGATATACCAAATCCATCTAGAACCACAAAACAATCACAAGCCTAAATCGACCACTTTTTCACTCAAACTCAACCGGTATTTTGTACATTTGAAAAGCAGGAAATAGAACACTACAAATTCTCATGATTTCACCAACAATGAATACAATTTTTTCAACATGAAACAAATTTACTAAGACCATACCTTTTACAACATATCACTTTGAATTTTTCCATGTAGGCGAATTGTAAGACCGCAATTTCGACGATTTAGATTCGAAACATGCTCGGAGTCACAGACGCGTTTTGGAAGCACAGCTTTTAAAAAGCGACATTTGCATAATAAACATTAAAGTCTAGTTCGGACGTCTGACAAGACCAAAAGAAGTGAAAACACTAGCGGCCATTTTTAATAATTACGATGCTTTGTGTGAAAGTTCTAAAGATGGCACCGCCTCTTGTGCAATGTTTTGACATTTCAACAATCGACTGCGAACTTCACGATGACAGTTCGACTCGGATCTGAGATTTGATTTGTAACTACAGCAATTAACTGCAATGTGTAATTAAACATTAGTTTGATATTAGTTCGTTAATACACGAGTGATGTTTCTAATTAATTATTTGATATAATACAAGTATTTCGTTAATAACACTGCATTCGTTTGTGTATTTTATGTTATTTCTCATATCTTCATTGGACTGCATTTCATAAATTACAATTGCGCCTGTTTGTTTTTAATTCACAATTATTTTCACCAGTTCTGAATCTAGTCTTAATATTAGAACATCATAGAAATTATTTTGGATCTTTATTTCTTATGTCATTTAACTATGTAGATCTACTCTAAGCAATTTTGATTAAACACCCAATAATTTTTTTAGTGTTGACTCAAAAACTTGCTTTAAAATAAGTGTTTTGTTTAATTTTATAACTGAGATCTGAGATTTGATTTGTATCTACAGCAATTAACTGCAATATGTAATTAATCATTATTTTGATATTAGTTCGTTAATACACGAGTGATGTTTCTAATTAATTATTTGATATAATACAAGTATTTCGTTAATAACACTGCATTCGTTTATGTATTTATCATATCTTCATTTGACTGCATTTCATAAACTACAATTACGCCTGTTTGTTTTTAATTCACAATTATTTTCACCAGTTCTGATTCTAGTCTTAATATTAGAACATTATAGAAATTATTTTCTATCTTTATTTCTTATGTCATTTAACTATGTAGATCTACTCTAAGCAATTTTGATTAAACACTCAATAATTATTTTAGTGTTTACTCAAAAACTTGCTTTAAAATAAGTGTTTTGTTTAATTTTATAACGATATTATAATGAATATTGAAGGAGGATATATACATTCATAAAATTACTCCTTGTAACAATAATTAATCTTGATTATATTCGATAAGATTTTATTATTTAACTCTCCGAATAATAAAATAAGTATTACATATTTCAAATAAAAACTAATACATTTATCATATTATTTAAGCACTAGAGATGTTTCATTCTGCTTTTAACAAATATTACGTTTATTCAAGTGACTATAATTGGACAAAGTTGTAAATTATATTGTTTGCCTTTATAAAACTAGAATACCAAATTGAATGTTCATTTTTTGTGCATAAATAATGAAATTTATATAAACAAAATTCATAAATATTTCATATATATTCTAATAATCAAATATATTGAAAGAATTATGAATAACTATAAAACTAGAATACCCAATTGAATGTTCATTTTTTGTGCATAAATAATGAAATTTATATAAACAAAATTCATAAATATTTCATATATATTCTAATAATCAAATATATTGAAAGAATTATGAATAACTCATAAATAAGCACAAACTATATTAGCAAACTTTAAATGTATGAAATAGAATGCGGCAAAAGATGAAAAAAATACTTTGTCACCTGAAAATGATCTCTTCCTATTTTTCATTAGTATATTAATTGAAATGGAAAAAGTTAGGAAAGAAGCTGTGTTAACTCGGGATGATTTTGATGGTGGGCCGGTTAGCCTTGATCTAATAGAAGAAAATTTATATTTAGGTGTGATAATATATCCCATTATTTCATAAAAGCATGAATAATAAGTTTAGTACTTTCAACAGGTAATGTTACAGCTGCATGTGATATTCCCACTTTAACAGAATTGAATATTAAATATATTTTGACAATAGATTCAGTTCCATTACCTCGACATATAACTGAAAATGAAAATTTTATTACCAAATATATTCAAAGTAAGTAGCACTAGATATCATTTATAATATAAATATAAATTTTATGTTGACTGAAACAGTTTGAGATAATTAAATTTAAATATATAAGTAAATATTGTGAATTTTATATCGAAAAAACAACTACTGAGTTGTTTTTTCCAACATGTCAAAGTAGTATACAATGTACCTTTTCGGCAGACTATTGTAAAACCATTAAATTTACTGAATGTCCTATACTGGACAGTTGTAAATAAAAGAGTTAATAAATATATATATATACAATATATATATATATATATATATATATATATATATATATATATATATACGTATATATATACATATATATATATATATATATATATATATATATATATATATATATATATATATATATATACTATATATATATATATATATATAACAAATAATAATGGAATAATTATTATTTGATATAATTTCACTACACTTACAACATAACGTTAGTTACAATATAATGTTAGTTACAATATAACATTAGTTACAATATAATGTTAGTTACAATATAACGTTAGTTACAATATAACGAATACATGTTGTTTTTAATTGCTATGCATTGAATTTCAGTTACTGATATTCCTAAAGAAGATATTTTATCAGTATTTGAATGCACAAACATGTTTATATCTGAAGCATTGGACAATAATCTAACAATATTAGTACATTGGTAAAGTAATCACATATGGATTTCTGAATGTATGAAATAATAATTCATATTATATTTTATTTAGTTATTATGGAATGTCTAGAAGTGCAGCCATAATTATTGCATATTTTATGAACAAATACAATTTACAATATGAGGAAGCATATCAAAGGTACATTTAGACATATTTTTTTTGTAATGAAAGCACACAATTTTCAAGGTGTTTAATGTAAACCTCTTTCATAAAGTCAAATTAATATATATTTGTGTTTATTAGAGTTAAATCAAAAAGAAACCTCGTAAGCCCAAATCCAGGGTTTATTACGCAGTTGAAGCTTTATGGCAGTATGGGTTCGAAAATAGACAGAACGAACAATAAATATAAAATGTATAGGCTTAAAATTGCTGCAGATAAAGTTAGAAAAGGTAAATTATCTAATTGGCTTATCACTGCATGCCATCAAACTGTTCCAATACTTAATATTTATTACTAAAAAATTCTTTTTTTTTTGTTCTAGTTAAAATATTACCTCAAAGTTGTATGGAGCTCATACAACCTGATCCAGCATTATTGCAAGAAAGGCCTGATCCATTAGTTTATAGATGCAGAAAATGTAGAAGAATTTTAGCTTGCCAATCAAATGTAATTACACATAAAAAAGGAAAATCAGTAGGTAATATCTATAATTTGAAACTATGTGCATTAACATATTTAACAAAAACGAATGTTATATTTATTTTTAACTAGTTATATTTAGAATAGTGTTTAGATTTTACCTTCCAAACGTTTTAAGATACTCTCATAAAAATATTTTTCGATATATAAAGTTATAAATGCTATAGATATTAAGTCAAAGTGTTATTAGATTGATAAGCATCAAAACATCCTTCTGAAATATGTTGTTTTATTTATTTCAAGAAGATATGAGCAACACATCTCAAATGATGAAATAAAAACTATGTCAGATATGAGTGCATCAGAAAATGAGATAACTAATTCTTCAATTAGTGGAGATGATGTTGCAACAATTGGTTCTAAAACAAAATCAACATCAGAAAATAGTCAGTCGAATGAGAGCATAAACTTCCAAATATGAGATCAAACTGTTCCCAAACTTATTTCGTTGAACCAATTGCATGGATGAAAGAAGTTACTCATAACACTCAAGGTAATTTTTTGAATGGGCGAAAAAAAATATGAAAATAATGAAATTCATGAAATCATAACCTCGCCTTTGATTTTTCACATTGTCAATTACGGTAATTCTTCTTTACAAATTAATAACATAATTTGAGTTATATTAGTCTGCATGAATCTTCATCTATTACTATCTTTGCATCTATATTTGAAAATTAAGAACAGGCAATAAATCAAAGTTTAAACAATATATAAATTTATATGAATATTACTTACAGGTAAACTGTATTGTCCTCATTGTAAAAATAAACTTGGCAGCTTCAATTGGCTTATGGGTAAGATTTCTTGATGCTTATTTTCAACCATAATATGTGTTCTTTTATGTTTCCATATCGATAGGATGCCAATGCCCTGTGGAACGAAAGTGTCACCTGCATTTTATCTAGTCCCTTCAAAAGTAGAATGGTCAAATGTTGTTCAAAATATAGAATCTACAATATAGGCCTTATTGATGTTGGTTTACAGTATTATTACGAAAGTATGAAAATAATTTTAAATGTTTTCCATGAGTGTTAATAATTCCTGTAAATTGTTGTTGAAAAATAAATTATTTGACAATTCTGTGAGATTTAGTGTATTTAAATAACATAATAGATTTATTTATATCTTAAGCTACAATGGAAACAACGCTTCTCATGCATGTCCACTAATCACTTCAATAAGCACACATTAAACAATACAACTTTGTTTTGATAACCCCAAATATTTATTAATAATTCTATACATAATTATACAAATATATATATATATATATATATATATATATATATATATATATATATATATATATAGAATATAATAACAAATTAAAATAATATGTAATATACGTCGCAAGGCTTGACCAAAATCATTTATAATTCTGATAAAAAATTGCACCTTTTTCCTAGCTAAAAACTTTGTATTCTTTTTATAGATAATATTATGATATTTTACAAACTCACTTTGCCGCAGCTAATGATCACATTCTTACAAACCTCTTCGATTAGGGTAATTTAAATAGTTTTGAAAATGAATATGTTCTACAATCACTCAATTAACAAATAAAAAACTCTCATCAGTATCTGCGCAAAAGTGATCATTTATTTATTTTTATAATGGCTTCTAGATATAATTTAACTACATAAAAATTTTAATATACCCAAAATATAAGTCATTGTCAGACGCAAGAAAATATTAAATCCACTCAAACGAGAAAATATCGCAATTCACAAATTCTTTCGGGTCTTTCGGAATTCGTGCCAGCGCTTATTCAAGACAAAAGTGAAAAAAAACTCTTTACATCTATTTAAAACGAGATTCCTTATAATTATTTAATTACGCTAACAAAATCTCAAGTATTTGATTCATGAGCAATACAGTGATTCATTTATTTTTATTAATATAAATAATTCAATACTTCAATATTGAATTTGTCACAGGAATGATAAAATATTAAATTGAATGCTCCCGATTTGAAAAATATAAACCCCCCAAGCATTTTAAACACAAGACATTTTAATAAATTAAAAGTTTCTTGTAAAAATAAGATATCTAAATCTATATCTACCCAGTTTTATAAATTAAGATATTTTGGCTGTAATTGTAATTTTCCTAAAAACAATTCATAAACTTCTAAATATATTACATTTATAAAAATAACAAATATTAAATTTCCTTCAATATAAAACATGATTTCTCTCATACACATCAACCACACTTAAAGGAAAATAGAATTCCAATTTAAAATAAGTTATTAATACTCTTGAAGAAAAAAATGATTGGAGATACTAGCATATTATCAATAGCTTAATAACATTTTCATTTTCTAGAGCTGTTAATAAAATTAAGGGACGAAGAAAAACAAATTGAGAAGTTCAATTAGTTTAAATTAAATAACTTAAAAGAATCATTGCTTTTTAACTTCATATACATATATATATATATATATATATATATATCTATATATATATATTTTTTTGATATTCTTGAATTGATGTTGATATATATGTTTAATTTGAGTTAATATTCGGGCGTAACATCATAAATAATAATTATATATTGTATATATATATTTTTTATTGATGTTACGCCCTAATATTAAACTCAAATTAAACTATATATATATATATATATATATATATATATAAACATATGTGTGTAAACGTTTTGAACAAGAATAACGTTACACTTTTTGTAACAAAACATAAAATTTGGAAGCTCTGAATAATAAGCATGATGAGTGGTAAATTTATTCTAATTTCTCAAAAAACATTTATATTCTTGGTTTTTTATTCTCTCATTTTTTACTTTTCAAGCAATATTGTTCCATTTTTCTTCAAGGGAATTAAGAACTTAATGAAATATATTAAAAATAACAATAAACGATACGTCCTCTTGCACTTAACGTTTATCAGTAAAATTATTATTTACATATACACATATTTATACGCATTAAATAATTATATGCAATACCAATCAACAGCGCATGCACTTACGTAATTGCATATTTAGATATACCAAAGTATATATTATATATATTAACAAATTATTGTATATGTGTTAAGATACCCCATACACTCAGTGACAGTGTTCTGTTACATCAACTATTACAGATTTCTTCCAACCGAACAGGAAGTAACCAGTCGAAGCCCCGGCGACCACGGCCAGACATAACCAGTAATTGTACGTCATGAACACCAACATAAGGAGAAAGGACACTGTTACCTGGACCGCATGCAGGATCGTTTGTAGGACGTTCATCCAACTCAACATGTGTTGCCTGTTGAAGTCAGATTCGATTAGAATGTGTCAAAATTGAGAGGAATTTTTACGAAATTAAACGCACACTGATATACACATTGTGATCTGATGATAATTTTGAAACTATTAATTTAGGAAGAGATTGATAGCAATTCGGTGCTGTTTAAATGACAGCAAGTGCTCGAGATGTACAATGTTGCAAGGCGATTTTCACCAAAACTTTAACGAACAGTTTCTTAGAAATTGTAATATCTTTGAAATGTTAATGCTTAGAATGAATCAATTTTATTAAAACGTGCATTCGATCATATTTTGGGATATGACCATATTCAAGTTCAATTATCATTATTCAAGTTCAATTTAAAGCAGGTCTCCAACAGCATGCTAGGATCAACGTTTTTCAAAATTAAATTCTTTTATAACAGTACAAAAATTAGTCGATTAGTATAAATAATATGCGTTTTTGAGATATATACATTTTTTAACAAATCTTTTATCCAATTAGAGAGAGGAAACGGTTTGACCAATCCTTATATAAATGTGAATATTTTGCAAAATCGCGCAAAAGATTTGTTTGTGATTGATTTTCACTCAAATCAAGGTAGTTTACTAGGAAGAATAGTAAACAAATTAAGTTGATTAATTAAATTAATAGAGAAAATATGACAATATAGCAAAAAATAAAATAAAAAATATTTTCATACCGAATAAAACAAATAACTTATATTTGAACTAGTGGTGTTTGGCATCATACTTTAAAGCAAATATTGCTGGAACTTCGCGTTCCGTAATAAAATATTCGAAGAATACATGCAAAAATTTTCATTTTCGATTTTTGACCCATTACTAAACCTTACCCCTACGGGAAGTTAAAAAAATAACTGTATTTTATTATTTTCTTGTCTTAAACCACATGTTTATATTTAATTTTTGTTCTAATCAAGATTATTTTAGATTTAGTTTCTATCAATATATTCAAATATTTATCTCTTTTCAATTCAAGTCTTATAAGATGCTTCAAAACGATTCAAATTTGTCTTTCGGGTGCACAAATATTAAATTCTTTTGAAATCCATTAATTAATTAAAATTTAATCACAGAAAAATATATTTTATCATCAGTGTGCGTTATTTCGGCATATATAAAATATTAGTTATTAATATTCAGCATATATTATACGTGCATGTTATAATGGGTTGTTGCTTATGAAGTATATACATATGAAAAAATATATGCATGCAAAGTAAAATAAAAAAATAAACTATAAAAAATGTTAACTAAAACAAAAGGTGCAATCGTGCAAATTGTGACCAGAAAATAAAAACTATGAAAAACAAAAATTAGAAGCTGTTTACAAGCTTTTTATTTATTAATCAAAGTATTAATAGAAAGAACGGCCACCATAAGTGCATGCTTAAATCTTATGTGATAACTTACGGCTGCTTATGTATAACTTCGCCGACCATGCTGAAATTTAAATATTATATTAAATATATAATATTTATTTACTAATAATTCATCATCGTGAATTCTGAATGAATAATAATAATTCATTTAATATTCTGAAATTTGAATCTAATATAAATTTTTATAATTCATTATTTATTGATGAACTAATATTGATAAAAAAAATATTTAATAATCTTTGAAAATATGAAAAATATAACTTACTGCACTATTCGTCCGTCTTCTCCAGCCGCTTGTCCACCACTACCCGTTGCACTGGATGCAGCAGCCCCACGTTTACCCTTACATTATAAAAATGTAAGTATTTACAAGAAATTAATGGGCAATAATTTATTAATTAAATAAACTCACTCCTCCTGCTTCATGTGCGACTGCTCTGTATTGTAATGAATTATGTGTCCTCCAAAATAAGTTTTCTCGATAGTACTTCAGGGATTCATATAAAGCAGCAGTGATGAAGATCGCAATCATTGATCCTATCAGGCCGGCTACGGTACTCGTTTTCCACCAGGAGAATAGAATGGTTTCTGTGCAACCGCCATGAAACTGTTGGATAAATAATTCTTGTAATAAGTATAACAAAATGAAATTTAGTATTAAATAATTATCTAGAAATAATACGATTCATGAATTAGTGCATGGGTATTAGTTCCTGATTTTCTAACAAGACGAACTTTGAATTTACTCGTCTGGGAAGTTAATAAATTTTACATGGTGATAGAGTAATGAAAACCAAATTCTTCAAATATTATACCCCTGTGCAGGGCCGGTCCTGCCTTGCATGCGATGCATGCAAAAAATGCGGGCGCACGCCTAAGGGGGCGCCAAAACGAGTTTCAGAAATTAAATTTATAATATAATATTTATATTTTTTATAATAAATTATAATAAACAATCGAACTTAATTAGGAATACAGAGATACAAGAAGCATTTATTCACATTTATTTTGCAATGTGTTATCAGTAGAAACAATTAACCGATTAATAACTCTGCAAATTAGTAAATAACAGCTCTGTTTATTGCTTAACCTACTTATTCAATTTTTTCTTTGTTTGAAGTTCCCGTGAAATCAAAAAAGAAATTATCTAGTGTTCAATCCCATAAGCGCAAACCTGCGAAAGATTAAATTAATTGTTGGGCATTATTGACGAAAATTGCGAGCTGATTTAGTTGAAACGAAACTTATTAAAAAATATAAACAAATTATAAAAAATGGGAAGTCAGTTCTTAGAGAATAACTTGTTTATTCCGAAAATTGAATTGTAACTTTTGCTTTGTTGCAATTGTTTTGCATCTGTTGAACTTTGAATGTTGAAGACATGCGTGGAATAAATATGAAAAATGGAAGCAAAATTTACTTTCGAACGAAAATCTTAAGGCTTGTTTTATACTTAGTGGTGTCCATACTCTAAATTTAATAATTATTAACTATACAGAAATAATACATATCAAATATAATAAGTTTTTTTTTCAATATTGTTAAAGAAATGTGTAATTTCTTTGCATTTTTTACTGATTTTTGAATAATACTTCTGAAATACGTTAAAAATTTAACTTTAAAACAATAAGCTGATACTCTGAATATGACGGCTCCTTCGAAATCAATAAGGAGAAGTTAACGACGCAATTTTGGATATTGTAAATGATGAAAAATTAAATTAAATTAAAATTCAAAAAATCCAGCATCAAATACGAGTGTTATGTTTAAAAATTATATGCTAGTTTTTTAAATATTAATATTGCACATACGTTAAAAATAATTGAAAATTTTAAAATACTTGATTATAATCAACCCCCGAATAGCCTCGATTTTCTTAAAAAAAAATTATAAATAAATTTAAAATCAATATATTTTATACGCTTTTAGATTATATCTAATTTTTTGTGCACTAAATCCAGAATAATTAAAAATTAATTTATTTATTTCACTTAATATTTTTGTTAAATTAAAGTTATAGAATTTAAGAAATGCATTTCAGAAATAGTATTTATTATTTTTATATGAAGATCTTTATATCAAAATAATAAATATTATTTCTGAAATGCATTTCTTAAATTCTATAACTTTAATCTAACAAAAATATTAATTATTTTGCTATGGTAGTCGAACTTACATCCTTAACCAATTTACTACATAGTGAATATTACTAAAATATAAAATTATGACAGGAATTGTTTTATTTATTAATATCGGTAATAATAGATAAATTTAAAATCAATATATTTTATACCCTTCTGGGTTACATCTAATTTTTTGTGTACTATCAGAATAATTAAAAATTAATTTAAAAAAAAAATGTAAATATTTATATAATTTTAATGATAAACTGTTAAAACGGTGAAAATTAATAGGGGGGGGGGGGGCGCTAGAAAAAATGTTGCATGCGGGCGCTAAGGACTCCAGGACCGGCCCTGCCCCTGTGAGTAGTGTTTTAATTATAAAAAAATTATTAAATTTTATAATAATAGGCTGTCCATCACTTTGCTTTCTAATCGATATCTTAAGGTGGTTAAAGCGACGGACTCCCAATTTTTACATTGCATGTTGGCATGTTTTTTATATTAAAAATATCTAACTTATACTACTTTTTAAACATTGTTAAAATATTTATAAATATTAATTTATTATATTGAACAAAATCTTTAAGTGAATATATTTGTATGTATTAACAATGAAGTATCTTTATATTTCAAATGTTTCATGGCATCTAGCGTTGCCCTTACTTGCTGAAAAGAATCTTTGAATCCAATGCACGTTTCTGATAAATTTAATATTATATTTCAACTTCTTTATTTCTATGTTTCACGGAGTACATACACATTAAAAAACTATCCATAAAATATGCAAATAATATCTTTCAATTTATCTACCTTTACCTAACTTTATTTAGTAATATTGGATAAATCTGTAATCTTATTATAGTGACGAGTAAAAATAAACTTTTATCTTCAGACCGAATAAGCATAAACTGATATTGCATTAAAATACAACTTTATCTAGAGAAAAAAGTTCAGTAATGTGGTATTTTAAAGAAAAAAAAACCTACAGGTAAAAAAACAAAATAACGAGGCGAAAATAGTTCGACATAGTACACAATTGTATTTCTCATTATATTGTTCTTTCAACTAATTGTTCTTTACTATGAAATATATTTGTCTATATGATTGTTAATGTAGAATATTTAATCTAATCATTTCGTTCAAGTCGCATATTATCCAAAACGAATGAATATAGGAATTTATTTTATAAAACATTCTAACATTGTTTTGAGAATTGACTAAAAATACATACGACTAGAATATATTCGATGTTATGCATTTATATGAACCTCAAACTGACATAATTCAAAAATTGATTGATGAAAATTGGAAATCCTGGCATAAACTGTCAAACTATTAAAAGAACTTTATTTTATCGATTTAACAACAGGAGGAAACCAGCGATGAAAAATTGCAAGTAAAGCTTAATTGTAAGAGTCAACGGTAATCATAATAAGGTTATTGTAACATTTACAAATATGAAAATATATTTTTATTATTATTTATTTGACTTCGTTATGCTATACATAACGTATAACATATATATTATAACATATATATTATAAATTAAAATAATGGAGAACCATTTAATCATTAATGAATTAGTTAAAGCACCGTTCATAAGTCATAGCCTAATCATTATTATTAGTTTTACGGATAAATGTTTGATATATTTTTATTTATTTATATATGTATTTATATATAATATGTATATAAATACATATATATGAATTTATATACCCTGATTGATTTACCTCATGATACTATTACATTCGTTTGAAAATTTCTCTATTGAATAGCTTGCAATAAGCAGAAGTCTAACAAATGCGATTAAATATTTTGATTGAGTCAATTCAAACCTATAAAATACTTATAATGTCATATAGTTCTTTTTAGGAATTAATTCTGAATAATATTTCATTTTTTAGAAATCATTCACAGATCATAACATCATAAACATAATCAGCTTCAGAATAATACAATACAATATTGAAAAGATCTTTAGTGAGTACATTTTTGAACCATATTATTGAGCACATTAATGACAAAATTTAAATATTGCAAATTAGTAATCCAACTTGAAATATAGAAGAGGTATAATCCATTATATCACCTAGTGGCATGGTAGTATATTATAAGTGAACAGCAACATGAGAAAAGTACGAATTACAAAATTATTACTATAAGAGGTAATTAAAAAATCTGGATGTGGGGCGTCTATTAGATGCGTTAAAGATACAGCGTTATACTTGTTTATCTATGAGCGTGGCTTAGTAGTTAGAGATTCCAACAAGTTAATTGTTTTGCTTGTCTTTAAAACATTGCCAGAAAAAAATTAGTATAAATAAAAAAAACACTACCAAATTTTCTTACCACCATTGACATCATCATGTGATCCACTGAACCACTCCTATGGTCGTGCTCCATATTTGGTGCTGCATCTTCGTGCATGTGACCAGTGTGATCTACCAAAATTAATACAGATTTAATAAATGTTGTTTTCAACTATATATTCTATTTATTACGATTAGCTCATTTTTATTAAAGCTATTAGAATTAGACAATATTAGAATAATCATCCATATAAGAAGTTTGTAACATAATGACAAACTTTCAAGAGGCTTATTAACCGACTTGACAAAGAACGGCAGAAATTTAAGCTCCCCAAATAGTATAAAATTAGAATGCAAATTGCCGTCGCCAACACCAGTTGAGATTTCATAAAAAAAAACGTTTCAATTCCATTGTGATTGGAACTTAAACTTACACATTGAAGCAAATAAATAAAGCTTTGAACAAGCCTATCTTCATAATTTAAACTATTTTATTAGGGATTCAATTATATCTAAAAGAGCCTTGCTCACTAATTTCTCACCCAAACAATGGTTAACCTCTTTAGGATAGATTTAACAGATTTATTAACTTTTTGCATATTTCTGCAGGATTACCCATTAATTATAAAAATTAATTCAAAAACAATTACCCATCGGAGGATTATGAACTGGAAGTTCCATGGAAGACTTAGGATCATGTGCCATATGATGACTGTGGTCCATCATGGAATGGTTCATCATCGAATGATTCATCATACCGTGGTGGTGGCCCATTGCATGATCCATTGTTAGTCTGCAAAATAAATTATTGGAACTATAAATTTGAGGTGCATATAAATGCATAACATTTTCTATATGCAAATAATGACACTATATATCTATATCAAGTACTTTTTCAACAAATCTCTTATATAAATTAACTAAAAATAAACAAGAGTAAAAAATTTTTACAAATTAGTACTCATGTTTCAAATATGTTGATAATATATTTAACATATCGATAAAATAGAAATAATTAATAAGTGTTATTATGTTATAACGTATAAAGTGTTAGACTAATTATAACTAAAACAAACACTATATAGAAAAAATATTGGGAATTGTTCATTTGCTGAGATATTATTGAGAATAACATTTTGAGTCATTATTTAAAATTCTTGTAATTTTCTTAATTATAACTTTATTGGAAATGTTATTAGACAATAACCATTTAACACAATATACACAATATATACAATAGTAGCATAATTGTTAACAACTTAATTAACATAACTGTTAATAATGCATTTCAAAAGACTAAGTTTTCAAATTAAATGTCCAAAAAATGCCTGTATGTATATAACAGTATGTATATAACAGCAAAAGTTTATAAGCATTGAACATTATTATTAACTTTCATGACAATTCATTTGGAGGTTTGAAAGAATTTTAAAAGTGTAATTCTCTTGTTAGGAGGTATGTATACTGCACAAAATTTTAAGTATACTCCATAACTTAATAATTTAAATAAAAAAATCATAATTAATTAAACTCGAGTTTGATCAATTTTATCGGAGTTAAAGAGTGAAAATTTGAAATAATTTAAAAACAATTTAATCAAGCACATACATTTTAAAATGTTTTTTAAAAAAAAATTTAAAAGTGTAGTTCTCTCATGAGGTATATACACAACATTTTAAGTGTATTCTATAACTTAATAATTTAAATAAAAAATTATAATTAATTAAACTCCAGTTTGATCAATTTTATCGGAGTTAAGAGTGAAAATTTGAAATAATTTGAAAAAAAAATGAAATTGAGCACCTACATTTTAAAATGTTTGTTTAGCTCCTTAATAGCATTAAAGAAAGTTTTTGTATACAACAAGCTGAAGGAGAATAGAAGGAACAATGTTAGGATTTTCGTAAAATTATTTACATGCATGCAATACAGAAGAATATTCATAATGCTCTTTTTAAGAAGACAACGAAACATGCATATAATCTGTAATAAATATAGTCTGTTAAAAACACTGCTTCTAAAATAACAGTTGACAGTCACCCAACAATGATTTTCAAAAAAAACTTTTATTAGAGCTGGATTAAAAGTCATATGTAATATTTTGAATTATAGTACGCACATATTTTTTACTATCACGCCACACTAAGAAAGGATACTATAATTTTCATTAAAATTTATAGTTCAGTAATAATTATTCGTGCATGTCGATCAAACGGCTTCTATTTATTGACTGTGCAAATTAATACGTCTGTAATAATATAAATGCATCGCATAAGAAACACGCACAAGTCGTCATTATGTTTATGTTTATTAGTTTACATAGTCCAGACTTCTAAAACAATGCAGATTGTTATTCGAATGACAATAACCGGTATGGCATTTGAAAATTTATGCCGAAAAATCTTAAATATTCCGAAGCGCAGTAAATTTTTAAACAAATTATTATTTTGTATTTCGGTCCAAAAAATAGAACCAATTCATCTAATATTAAAACATTACCATTTGTTACATTATATTACTTTCATAAAATTACAGATTATTCTAAATGGCGAAATTTACCGCCTTTCTATAAATCGCACAATTTAAAGACCAATAAATTAGAATTAGGATGAACATCATAAATGTATGACAAATAGTTACCAATTCCGACAAGTAGGTTATTTCTTGCATTTATTGGTATCAATATATTATATATTTATATATTTTCATATTTTTATGTTTATAATTTCATTTAATGACGTTTTAGTTCAAATGGTTAGTTTAGTTCTTGTATAGATAATACCAACTTTCTGCTGCCTAAAACACAGAAAAACTATAATTAATTTATAAGTTGTAGAGGTAAATTAATTAGATATTTTGAATAATAACGTTAAATTATTTAAATGTTCATAATATTATATATAAGACTATATAAGGGTATAAATAAGACGTTTTTGCAAAAATATTTTACTATGTATCCAATTTTGAATTAGGCGTGCAAAGCGGTTTCATATTTTGATATAAAATAAAGGAAAATGAAGCAGCAAGGCAAGAGACAAATTTTAGATATGACCAGATATAATATTCAAATATAACTTTGTCTTGCAAATAATACCTTTCAAACATTATTTTACGTTCTTTAATGTCTTTTTAGTTCACAACATTTTATCTTTTCTGTCATACAAAAATTAAATTCCTTGAATATATCATTTTTTCTTACAACTTACTTTGTTAGTCTCGTGTATCAAGTGGGTACTTTCTGTGCAATATGGCCCAAAACAATTTTACATTTATCTCAAAATCATGTCCGATGACATATAAATTGTATTTTTTTGTAATTGTCTCTATTAAATATATGTCTAGAGTTTTGATTTGTTTCTCTTGAGATTTAGATTAAATCAGATATTGGCGAAAAAGAATGGTTAGATTAGATTCGAAAACCATTGAGTAAATCTTGTGATAGATATTTATTGATCTATTAATATATGTAGATAATAAGAACTACATTTTCACTTTCACAATTTCATAAATTTGAAAAGAGTGAATCAAATTGCCCATGTGGTAAACTGCATACTAAAGATACTAAAAACAATTACGACCAAGTTACATCTTTAATGTATAAGTTTATAATTTTAGTTTTATGCTGATGTATAAAAATGATAAAAAATAAATAACCTTCCATTTTGACGATATTGTGAAACTCTATAACAGTTGAACAAATATAACCGTTTCAAATAAATCTTGAACGTGGTATTCGAATTGTACAATAACATATAATTACTAAAGAATGAAAGTGATAAAATGTAAATGTTTTTCTATTAGTTTAAATTTGCACAAGTGATTATAGGAAAGGTTTTCTACCTATATCTTGAAATAAAAAAAATATAATGCGCATTTTATATGAGCAATTCTATATTAAAATCATATAATTTTTATAGACAGTTCGACAAAATATGTTTTCTTATAAGATTCCTATAAAAAGTTCTACTTTTAGAATTTAAGGCAGAAGGAAATGAGCTGATATGAAAGAAATTTCGTTGAGAGTTTGCCAGTACCAAATAGGTCAGCAAAATTTAGTTCTCAAGTAATCGAGCTTTAATTAATCATTTGAAACAACAATTAAGTAAATAAAAATATGAACAAAAATTAAATACTCTTTGTAAGTCTACATAAAATTAGCAGATTGTTAAAGGACAATATTATATAAAGAACAAATAATCGGTACACATTTTTTAAGAGCAATGAAAACCAATTCGTTTTGATACAAATCATTTGTTAAAATAACAACAAAATTATTGAATGGAACAATTGTCATTGTATTGAACGAAATCAATCAACTATGTCGCGTAAACTATATAAATTCCTGGAAGCAGATTGAAGAATTTACTGTTATTTATAGAAGTCGTAAATATCAAACAAGTATTTAGAGAACCACTAACTAATTATTGGTTAAACTACATTATATAATATATAATTGTATTAATAACCAGATCATTTATAAAGAAACTATATAAAATTGTATTAAAAATGCCTACTGAACAATTTTATCAATAACCTTCGATTTATTCATCAATAAATGATATATCTATTAAAGTTTAGTCAATAATTATATCTTATTAATTATATTATATGTCAATTATTATATATAAAATATATCAATTAGTGATTTGAATGATTTTAATTTGCATAAAGTTAGAGTTGCATGAATAGAGTTATCTGCATTGGCCAAAAATGATGTTGTTTTTATAAAGCCATAAGTTTAGCTGTATTTCTGAGTCTATTTGGGAATCAAATAGATCATATTTTTTCTATCATTAGAATATAAGGCTTTTTTAGAAAGCATATCAACAATTGGCCTGTCTCTATTTAATATGTATTCGATTACATATTTCCATTGACATCCTTTTCTTTCCTCAAAATATTAATATATTAACTACAGTATCAAAATTCATGTTTTATTAAAAAGTGATAAAATTTTGTGAAAAATAAAACTCAGTACCACGTCGATGAATTAAGTTGAATCATTCTTAAAATGTTACATATATAAAAACACAACGTCATATAATAATTCATCAAAATTTAAAAGTAAAAGTGTTATTAAAACACATATTACCCAACAGTAGCTAATTAAATTAATAACAATAAGCATATGTTCAACTGTACATACATTTGGCAAATAATCATAAGCATTCCAAGTAGTGATTTATGAGTAATTTTAAAATATGTATTACAATATGTTTTCAGTGTACACTTCGTAACAATACCAAATAATAAACAATTTAATCGTAGAATTAACTACTACCAGAATCGAATATCGCTGGCAATACGATTTATAAGCAAATAATTATGTGTAAATAATTATGTGCCTAAAGAATTAAAATAGTACTTTTATTATTGAGTAAGAAAATCTCTAATGGATATATTTAACAAATAGAATATAATAAAACATAAATGCAATGACGCAAAATCTAATCTATTTATTTGGTGATGCATTCTCAAGAGGTGTTTAACGATTTACAGATAGATCGATAAGATAGAGTTTTTGAAATCGCTCTAATGTTTACATAAACTAATCTAATATTATTACTGTAATATTGTGCTATATTGAATACACGAAACCATATCAAAGTAGTGATAGTAGTAGAGGTGGTATATAGATAGTAGTAGTAGTAAAGCACAATACTTGTAAGAGAAATCGTGAAAATTACTCAACGACAGTGAGAATGCTATAATAAAGTTCTTATTAGTTTAACAAACTATGAACATTTTACTTT